CAAAGCTTCATCTGTGTTTACAGCTGCTCCCCGTCGCTCTCATCAACCTCTGAGCTCTGCCTGCCAGATCAGTGCAGCATTAGATTCTCATAGGAGCGTGAACCCTACTGTAAACTGCATATGTGAAGGCTCTAGGTTGCGTGCTCCTTATGATAATCTAATGCCTGATGATCTGAGGTGGAGCTGAGGTGGTGATGCTAGCTCTGGGGAGCAGCTGCAAATGCAGATTATCATTAGCAGAGAGGTTTGACTGCATACAGATCATAATAAATCAATTGCTTGCAGACTCATATCCAAACCCTATCAGTGAGTGGCAAGTGACAATGTAATAATAATAGAAAGGGTCACAATAAATGTAATGCACTCCAAGCATACCAAAACCATCTCCCCGCAGGTCTGTGGAAAAATTGTCTTCCACAAAACCAGACCTTGATGCTAAAAAGGTTGGGGACTGCTGTTTTAAAGAATCTTCTGTTTGAATCCATGACATCTTCACTATCTTGTCTGGTTGTTCAAGGCTTTGTGTTCTGACCCAAAGTCAGAGAGACATCTACAACTATGGGGAAGAACTCAGATTCTTAACTTTTTGGAAATCAAATCAAAACTGTATGACTAACAATAAGTAAATAAATATCAGAGGTACAAAATAAACATACAACTTTTTATATGTTGAAATCATTTAGTCTCTTTCACTTGGGCAATATGTGCTAACAGTGGAGGTTGTCATCTCTGAAGATTCACATGAACACTGATCATTCTCCACTTAGGAAAGGTTACAAAAGTCCTTGTTTTATAGCACCCTCCAGCTTGTCATGTTAGATTTTAATGAATAGTTTACTGTCAGAAGTTCCAGACCATTATGTTATACTTAATGAAAGGGTATCTAAATTTTTTCTAGAGCAGATGAAGAAGAAAATCTTATATTTTAGGGATTCTAAATGTGATCTTCATGTCTACCATGAAGATAAAGTTATGTCCTGCAATTTGGAGCTATTTGCTTTATACATTTTAGGAATTGCATTAATTTAGAAAAATTCTTATATTAAATTAGATATTTAATATTTGTAGTCTTTGCTTTAAGTCTTGAATTCTAAACTGTAAATAATTATTATTCTCCACTCTCCCAGACTGAATTTTGAGATGTCTTTCAAGTTATAAAAATGTATGAGGGTTGTTGTGAAAAACATAAAAAAGATAAAAAATAAAACAAAATTTACCCATAATTTCAAGTTCAGAGATACCTTCTATCTCTATTTGGATGGAATATGGTTTTTTTTATAAGTCATATAAATGGGTTTGGTTTTTAATATGCAGTCATGTACCACATAATGACGTTTTGGTTACCAAAGGACCACATATACCATAGTGGTTCCATGAAGATGATAATGAAGCTGAAAGATCCCTGTCCCCTAGTGACTTCTAGTCATTGTGATGTTATAGCACAACCCGTTGCTCATGTGTTTGTGGTGATGCAGGTGTAAACAAACGTACTGTATTGCTAGTTTTATAAAAATACAGCACATACAGTTATTTATAGTACATAATACATGATAATAACAATAAATGACTATGTTACTGGGCTTATGTATTTACTATACGATACTTTTTATCGATATTTTAGAATGTATTTCTTTTACTTATTAAAAAAAAGTTAACTGTAAAACAACCTCAGAGGAGTCCTTCAGGAAGTATTCCAAAAGAAAGTACTGTTATCATAGCAGATGACAGCTCCGTGTGTGTCCCTGAAGATGTTCCACTGGGACAAGATGTGAATGGAGGTGGAAGACAGTCATACTGATGGTCCTGGTCCTGTGTCGGCCTTGGCTCATGTGTGTGTTCATGTCCTAGTTTTTTTGTTTTTGTTTTTTTTTTGTTTTTTTATAAAAAACGTTTAAAAAATAAAAATTTAAAACATAGAAAAAAGCTTATAGAATAAAGGTAGAAAGTGTTTTTGTGCACCTATAAAATGTGTTTGTGTTTTAAGCTAAGTGTTACTACAAAAGAGTCAAAAAAGTTAAAAAAAAATGTGTTTAAAGTTTATAAAGTAAAAAAGTTATAGTTAGCTAAGGTTAGTTTATTGTTGAAGAAAGAAACTTTTCTTTATAAATTTAGCACAGCCTAAGTATACAGTGTTTCTAAAGTCTAGTTGTGTACAATAATGTCCTGGGCCTTCACATCCACTCAGCACTCACTCCCTGACTCGCCCAGAGCAACTGCCAATCCTGCAAGCTACATTCATGGTAAGTGCGCTATACAGGTGTACCGTATTTTATTTTTTATACTGTATTTTCACTGTACCTTGTCTGTGTTTAGGTATGTTTGGATACATAAATACTTGCTGTTGTGTTACAATTGCCTACAGTATTCAGTACAGTAACATGCTGTATAGGTTTGTAGCCTAGGAGCAATAGGCCGCACCATATAGCCTAGGTGTGCAATAGGCTATAGCATCTAGTTTGTGTAAGTACATTCGGTGATGTTCACACAATGAAAGCACCTAACAACACATTTCTCAGAACATATCCCATTGTTAAGTGAGGCATGATAGTACTTGGGACATGCCTATATATGTATATGTATTCTTGTATTAGTTTTCCCCACTTTTCCATTATAAACATTTTCCATTTTATTAAATATTCTTTAAAGATAGACCTTAATAACCTGTGTGCCTCCCTTATGGTGCTTCTTTTGTGATTTATATATATTTCTATACTATTCTCTTAACTTTAAAAAATATTAAAGATTTGTGGAATCTTTATTATTAAAAATTATAGTTATTTAGTACTCAAAACTACCCTATGAATTTATGAGTCCCTCACTATGACAAATAACAAATAAATAAATTGAACTTCTATTTATTAGTCTATTTAGGAAGTCATTTGCTTTTTAGATCATGTAGTGGCTTTTGTCATGATCTAAACTATTAGAACATGGGATTATTCTATTGGATTCTGTTGTCTTTATTTGGTAAATCCAGTTCTTTAATTTCCAACAGCCTATATTTGTGACTTTTTGGATATAGGTGACACAAAAGACTAGTTAAGAGCACGATTGGTGCTACATATTTACACCTTAGTAGTTGTGTGACTTTGGGCAAATTACTCTATCTCGCTGCACCTGCTTTTCAAGATCAAGGACTAAATGCGACAGTAAGATACATAGTCCAGGGCCTGGCTTATAAAAAGTATTGAATATTCTTGCATTTATTTATTTATTTATTTTCACTGTTGTCATTGTGAGGTCTTTTGGGCTATGAACAAAACAAAGGTGACCAGCCTTAGTAGAGGTTGAAAAGCATCAGAACTTCTCTTTGCCCATATGAAGCATCTGGCCATGGATGAAAAAGACAAATAACCCATTTTAATTCTGGGCCAGCAGGAAGGCATCTTTGTCTGCCCTGTCTGAGAAGCTGTCTCACGGGTAACTTCAAACTTTGCAATGAGGCAAATGCATTCCTGAATCTGAAAAGTTCACCACTGTGTGTCTGCATTGTTAAACAGTAATTCCTGATAGTCACCAAAATGCTTACTAGGGTCTCAAGGAACTAAGTAGTGACTCCCTTCTTATTATTTTCATTATTGATATTATTCAGTAGCTAGATAGTCTCTATATAAATGTCAGTGTTGCTTTAATAAATTATTATGGATGATAATGAAAATACCTATAACTTCTATTAATTCAGTTCTGACAATAGACAACCAAGAGCTTTTCATGCATTATCTCATTTAATCCTAATGGCTACTGTTATTATCATCCCTATTTATGTAAATGAGAAAACTAAGATTTAGAGAAGTTCCATGTTACCCAATAAGAATTTGAATGCTGGTCTGTCTGACTCCAGAATCTGAGCTTGTCGCTTTACATATAGCTCTACTGTCTTTGTTTCACAATTACTGCATCATCCCATTCATTCATTTGGCCTACGTTTGTTGAGGGCCTACTCCGTGCCAGGCTCTGTTTTAAATGCCAGAGTTACAGCATGCAGACTAAGCCCCTGCTCTCCTAAGACATACTTTCTATTATATTAAGTTATAATGGGTGTGTTTCCCTTCTAGAATGAGTGTTCACATAAGGCAGTAATTTGTCTCATTCCTAAGTTTTGGGAATGTAACTGAAATTTTATCTAAGCCCGAGTGTTACTCCTGAGCTTATGAAAGGATTATTCCTACAAAAATATTGGAAAATAGGACATGCCCCATTTAATTCACAAGGCTGTTTATTTTAGCACTGGCTCCTTAGCCCTTGCAATCTTCTCAATTTGCATAGATCCTTACTGATTACTTTAAGAAGCATTTAGAATGTTTATTATTGTTATGATAAAGCTATTTTTGGTACTTTGGTTTCTTTGACTTCCTTAAATATTCTATAGGTTTGTGGAGCAGCATAAAAACTTTCTTTCTTTAGAACTTGCCAAACATACATCAGACAAACCTAATACAAGAGGTTTAATTATTTCATAGAATACACAAAAGGATTCTGGTATAGTTGGAAAATAAATGATACAGCAGGGAAGTCTGACTATGAGGGGAAAAATATTGATGCCTTGTTTTCTGTGATATCAAGAATATTAAATCCTTCCTTAAGAATGAATTATTATCATTTTGAAGAAGATGGTACTATAAAGTATTTGTGTTGAATATTATTTTTTAATTCATGTGGAAGCTGAAAATAATTTTAAATGTCCTTGAGTGGAGGCTAACATATTAATTCATCTAGGGAATTATCAATAAATACTTTGAATATGTTGCATTGAATAAAGTTGTTGCCTTATTTTTGCATTAGAAATACAAGTGAACCTTTATAGTCCTATAAGGAACAAATGGCTTGTGTGTGTTCCTCTTCTTTTTTTGTATTTTTTAAGTCATTTGCCCAACAGGGAGGATCACTGGCACATTAACTAGCTGTTCACTCTGGATTTTGACATTGCTTCTTTTTGGGACCCTAATGATGGGCTCTCTGATAACCAGTGCAAACTCCATGAATATCTTTCATTTCTCTAGAAGGAGGTGTGGATTTGCAAGGCTACCAGCTGGATATGCAAATACTACCTGACGGCCCAAAGAGTGATGTGGACTTTTCAGAGATTCTTAATGCAATACAAGAAAGTAAGTTTCACTCAAATTTTAAAAATTCACCATGAGTGGAGAAACTACTAGAATAATTGGGAGGGATAATAAAATTAGAAACCTTAGATGCCAAGCTTTAGAAAATACTAATAAAATGATACCGTAAAAGAGATACAGTGCAAAATAATTTTGAGACTACAAGAGATGATTTAATTTTTGAAACTAAACCATGCAAAATATTTTGAAGTAGCTGTAGTGGAACTATAAATTCTGTATTCTGTATTTAGTATGTTATAATATTTAGTAAACCTCCGAGTATTGTAATTTTTTAGATTTCTTGGTTAATCATACTCAAAGAAAAATTCATTAGAAACCCAAATACAATTCCTCTACTCAAATGTAAGCAGTAAGAAGTAAATGTTGGTGCAGTAAGCTGAAATCAAAAACTTATTCTCCAAAATGAGTATCTGGAGTCATTTATGATGGATTGTATCTCAGAAGAAAAGCCCTCTCTTCAGAGCATTTTGATTAATCAAATAAATAGTCTTCTTAGACTATTTTATTTGTGTTTTATAATTTTCCCTCAGAATTTTATCAGAATCATCACGTTTCCCCAAGTTACAGATTTAATGTTGGGAATGAGTGGCTTGGCATCACAATGCTCAGTCATTGCCTTTCATGGTTCCTTATCAGGCCTCTAATTCTAGAGGATGACACTCCTCTTTTATTTATTTTTTTTGACACTCTTCTTTTAATATGAAATAGTATTACATAACATTGGATTTAAGAGGTTTTGATATGATGAGCATTACATAAAGAACCACTGCATTTTTTTTTCTACTTTTAGTTTGGGGATGTTGCAGTTCTATACTAATTTTCTTTTTCTTTCTTTTTTTTTTTTAAATTTCAGCATATTGAGGGGGGACAAATGTTAAGGTTACGTATGTTGCCCATGCCATCCTCCCCCTTGGAGTTAGAGCTTCAAGCATGACCATCCTCCAAACATTGCACATCTCGTTCTTTATGTTTGTATATACCCATCCCCTCCTCCCCCTATACTAATTTTCTTATAAATAACTTTAAGCGTTTTTCTAGTAGTTGTTCCCATTTGCCATTATACTAGCCTCTTGACCTTATGAGGTAATTAATATTTCCCCCTTACAGATGGGACAACTGAGGGTGGGAGAAATTAAGTGACAAGGTAACCTGATAATAAAGGAGTCCAGACTGGAAGGGAACCTGACTGTTCCTTCATTTAATTCCTTTACAAATGTGCTCCACGCAGGATTTGAACACAACAGGGTAAAGGACCCTGAAATGGAAGATGAGGCTACTTTTGAGAGAAATATTATTAATGAAGAATATAAGAGGACCAGCTATTTTTTTCTGGTTGAACAATCCCTTTTTGATTAATGAATAAAAGAGAAACATTTTCCCCCAGGAGAATAAAAATCAAATTCATAGGCATTGGAGAGAAAATAACTTTTCACGGAAAGTTATAAAATTATGTAATTACTTCATTTGATTTGAAAGATGGATTGTACAATGTGCAAAGGATTTTCTAAAAATTTTCAATAAATGATAAAAGTTGGCCTCTCTGAAAGTGCTAGAGATAAACTTAAATTTTTTTAGGACTAAATGAGCTTATATCAAAATGAACTAAAGGCTTATAAGGGACTATTTTTACAGTAAATTTTATTGGATCTTAGTAAAGACACATTTGTAGATGATGTTAACTGTTCTATAGTTTAGAATGACGGCCTCTTTATGAACAGGTAGAGGAGTATAAATTTATGTGTATTTAATATTTAAATTTAAGAAAAAGGAAATATTATTTGACTTCAAAATGCAAATCAAACTCTATAGGTTTATGAATTTTCAAATGCTTTGAGGTTAGCAGAAGGATGAAAAAATTTCACTGTTCTCTACAAATTTTGTGGTGCTATCTCTTTATATATACATAATGTATAAGATCAAGCTAGAAGAGTATGTGTGTGTACACACATGTATGTTTCAAACATTTCTTGTGTGTCTATAGTATGTGTGACAGGCTAGGCCTGTCATATTATCTAAGTGTTTTCCCATACTATCTTTTTTCATTCTTAAAATAACCCTAAGTAATAGTAGACATTATTTTCTCCATTTTAAAGGTGAAAAAACTGAGTATAGCTCCCCAAGGTTAAAATAGTTAATATGTGATAGAGTCAGTATTTAATTCTATGTCAAATTTGTTCTGCTAAATATAGAATTAAATAAAAACGATTAGGAAAAATGAACTACTTTGGGTTTTAACATTTTTGTTATGGTTTTACATCTTGCGGCAAGAATTTCCCCACCATGCTTTTACACTGTAAAATACATTTACACTATTTTTTCCTGTAGTGTGCATGCCCTGAGTATAGCCTCATCTATTCTAAAGATGTCTCGGAGTGGCTGGCCATACTCAAGTTGTTTCTCAGATCTTCCATATTAGATGTATAGCCTATAAGAAAGAAGAGAGTTATTTTATCCATATATCCATCCATCTCACCTGCCATGTGCTAAGCAAAGTACTTTAAAGCAGTGTTGAATGTTTTTGCACAAAGTCCAATTTAGTAAAAATATAAACATTTACGGATCACATCTTGTTTTGCCATTCAAAATGAAAACAACTTGATTGCTTTCTTGGAAAAAGGCATTTATATGTGGAAGTATAATGTACGGGGATATTGTGTGTGTGTGTGTGTGTGTGTGTGTTTTGTTTTTTTTTTCTTTATGTTATTTTTCCCTCCCTCTCTATTCTCATCCTTCACTCCTCATCCCAAGATGGCAGCCAGGTCCCTTGAACTTTTTTGTCTCAGCAGAGTTTTGTGTTGCCTGAAGTTCCTGGCTTTTGTTTTCTGAAAGCCTGGGCTTCTGAGGAGCTGATGATTGGATAGGAGAAGAAACTGGGGCAGAAATGGGAGGAATTTCCTGAGACCAGCTCCCTCAGGGTGTCTTGCAGGAGCAGCATGGCTTCAGGCAGGATGGATGGAAAGGGGGGAATGGCTGTGTCGTGTGCATGGGAGACTGCACTGGGACCATCTGAATTGCCAGCCTTGGCAGAGAGTCCCCAGCCTCAGAAAGGAACCTTGGGGGCTCTGGGAAGGAGGCAGTCTCATCTTCTTCTTTCTTTGTTGCGTCTCCAGTGCCTTGAAGAGAAGATGGAGTGTGGTAGGTGCTTACTAAATATTTGTTAGTGAATGAATGAATGAATGAATGAATTCCATGGTAGACTCAGCATGTTGGCAGCTCCTTAGTAACTGGCGTGGCTTGGACACCTAACTGGTCTCTCTAGATCAGGGGTCCTAAAACTTTTTACACAGGGGGCCAGTTCACTGTCCCTCAGACTGTTGGAGAGTGTGCACTGTGGGCCCAGGACGAGTCAGCTGCTAAGCAGGACAGGCAGCGTCGGCAAAACACCCAGAAGGCCGGATAAATGTGCTAGGCAGCCCGCATGTGGCCCATGGGCCGTAGTTTGAGGACGCCTGCTCTAGATGTTCTGCTCTTCACAAAACTCCTGGAACCTTTGCACAGTCATCGATAAATGAGGCAGGAGAGTAGGAGTGTCAACAATGACTGAGATTAAATTTTCCACCAAGCCAGTGGAATGGGAACTTAGAAACAGATTTAGTTTAATATGATGATAACAAAGTCACAGGGCAATTCTTACTCTTGAGTTTGTCCAGTAAGATTCATACCCTTTACACATGGTCTAAAGGTTTGAGTGACTACTCAAATCTTATACATAGTAGCATCAATTAAAACCAAAAAAAACCTTGCTTTATAATCACCAAAGTTTTAAAATCTGGACATTTTTAAGAGGTAGATATTTTTAAATATTTCCTTCTGAATGCTCTGCAGTCTGTGAATCAGGTGTATGTGTATGTATGTACATGATCATTTATTCTATTAGCTAACCACTATGCAGTATGTCATTCAAAGCTTGTACTCAACCTTTTAATTCTTGCTTTATGTTATTACCAACTCCCAGCCCTTTCTAGAGACCATTCACCTCCCCCCAGCCTTTCTCACCCACCCCTCTAGTTTTGTTCTTAGTTTTTCTTTTCTTGATTCCCAGCATAGACGGATACAGACTGCAGGGACTCTTGAGTGGCATTCATACCCTGGAGACCATTATTGTCTTATATTCCATTAGGTTCTGATGAAGGGAAAAGGGCAACAGATAGTGTTTGAAATGAGAACTTGAGAGCTGAAGGCTATTGGATCCTTGATGTTCTGTGGGATATGACCCTTTGTGCTTGCACCTGTGCCTACATAATCACGTAGCTGTTCCTACATGGGGGGTGGTCTGTGCTTCTGTGGCTGAGGAGACTGAGTCATTTCTCATTGACGTCCAATGAGTCATTTTGAATCCAATTTCTTGATCCCTGATTTCCAATTTTATTTTTAACCTGTGTGGTCATGCTGTTTCAGAGGGAAAGATGGTAGCATGGCTGGGGGGGTGGTGCTGGCATATGTTGAGCATGTAATCTTGTCTGATGATGTCATGGTTACCCTTTTACCTGTGTTATTTTATGTAGCCTTAAACTCTCTTTGCCTCAATCTGCACACCTGTACAAGGGAAATGGTAATGGTACATCTATGTAATGCCCTTAGCATAGTGCCTGGTGCATGGTAAGGGCTGTGTAAGTGTTGTTTGCCACCTTCATTTTCATTCCTCATAGAAGTCCTGTCAGGGAAATGGTATTATCCCAACTTAAAAGATAAAAAAAATGAGCTTGAATAAGTTAAATAACCCAATCTAATAGCTAATAAATGGATGGGCTGGCATTGGAACTCAGGGCTGTCTGGTGCCAAAGCTCATGCTCTTTCCAAAGAAGGAGAAGTTTTGGTTAATAGACTTTGAGGATCTTTAGTGTAGAACACCATTCACTTCATTTCATGCTGTGAAAATAGCTGTGCTCATAGCCACAGCTAATGAGCAAAGCTTGAATTAGGTACACAGCTCTTTTCTAAATACCACTCCCAGGGATGGAAGAGGAGGTATCATGATTATC